CAGTGAGTTAGCTTTGCCCAGCATTGCGACGGACCCGTCATGCTTTTTCAACAAGAGCTGAATGAAACAAATGGGAAGGAAGGAAGGAAGGGAGGGAGTGAGGGAGTGAGGGAAGGAGGGAGGGAGGGCGGGCGGGCGAGCTTACTGACCCTGCTCCCCGGCACAGTCCAAAAGTTGTTTAAACTCCTTTAAAGGAGGAACTAGCCACTTCTTTGCCCTTTGGCTTTATCCTCTTGGCCTTTGCATTTTCTATATGGATGACAGCACAGCCAAGGTGGGTCTAGAGGTCCGCGGAGGACCGTGATGGGGCGTCAGTCCTCATCCCTCTCTGGGGTGCAGTGGCCTCGTGTGTGTGAGGGGACACCCCTCCAGCCCCAGCACTCCGTGGAAGGGGTGGTGGGCGAGCTAGTGGTTGGGAGCCAAAGGCCTCCAGGGAGTGGGAGAGCCATTTCCCGGACTAAAGCAAATCCTTTGGGTTTTTCTGCCGGAAGTGAAAGTAGCTGGTGCTATTGGTGTAACCATGCTGGAAGCTTCTCTGCGCATCCCCGGGAAGCCTCTGGAAGAGACCCTTAAGGTCGTCCTGCGGAGGACTCGCTAGGGGCAGAGAAAACCCGACAAGAGCCTGGCCAACACTCGTGGAGCCTGGGGCAAAATCCCGGAAAGCACCCTGGCCAGGCCTAGAAGACCTTTGGAGAGGTCCTGTACCCCTGGGAAAGGCAGAGCTTGCCCCCAAGCTCTGCTGACGTTTGGGCCCATTAGGAGCCATAGCTGGTTCCAATGTCCTGAGCACAATTACCAAAGCTAAGCAGAAGCATGTGACCAAGACACTGTGTTTCCAATTATTCTCTCTCCCTTCTCTCTCCGACTCTCCCTCTATGCCAGGCCTAGAGGAAAAATAGTCTCCCACCGAAGTCCAATTCTGGCCGCTCCTCTACAGCCCTTTTGTAATTATTCCCTTCCTTTGTTACATTTTCCTTAAAAACAAGGCTCATTTTGAAAACTGTCTTTGCTCTGCACCAAAGGGGTTAGCCCCCTGCCCCCAGCACATCACCAGCCTCCCATCCCATGGCCCCTGCCACCCCCGCGTGAGAGCCAAGGCTGCAGAAAGTCACGGTTCTCTCCGGAAAAGCTTATTTTTAAAAACTGACGGTACTCATCAGGCACTCCTGCAAATGGTCCACCGGGATTGGCACAGTGTCCACTGAGGAATTTGACCCACCCGCAGCCAACTTTTCCATTGCTGAGTGAAGCACACAGCCTTGCACCTGGTCCCAAAGTCCCCAGATGTTTGTGTCCTGGAAAATGCCCAGTGAGGGAGCTCGTCTTTGCTGGGACGGCTATGGTGGGCTGGGAGAGTATGTGAACAGGAAGGGGGATTGGGCTTCCTTTCTAAGAATCCAGGCAGACGGCGACAGAGCTTGGTGGAAAAGAACACAGAGGCCTGCACTGGAGGGGAGAGTTTAGGCGTTGACTGCAGGTGACTGGCTCCTCTCCTAGGCTTGGGGTGGGATAAAAGACAGTTTCAAAAAGCCTCTTGGTCCCTGGATGTTACCGTTATGTGTGCCAGTAGCATTGGAGAGAAGAACATCTATTCTATGAGGACTTTTTTTTTTTTAGGCAAAAAGAGAAATCTATCAGCTTGCATATGTGAATAGATAGTGTGGCATCAGGTATGGCTGGATCTAGGTGCTCATATTACATCATTTAAATTCGTCCTTCTCACTCTTTCTCTCTGTCCTCCTTGCTTTCTCTCTACTTGCTCCCTACCTGTCCCCCAACCTCTGCGAGTCCTATACTATCTGTGTTGGCTTTACTCTCAGCAGCTGTCCCCACACAGTGGCCCTCAGCAACTCCATGTTTATACCCTCCCCATTTAGCACCAGTGCAAGGCCAGAATGATCTTAACACAAAACTTTGATTATCTTTCAATTTTTCAAATGCCTGATGGACCAGGGCTGGCTATGAGCAACACACACACACACACCCTTCTCCATGCGGCCCAGGTGAGCTGTGGAGAGTCCTGATGAAGTTAACAAAACGCAAAGAAATTTGGATATAAATATATAAATACTCATAGTGACCTTTGCATTGAGAGTTACTGGTTCTGGGAAGTTGAACTGACAGAATCAAAAGAACTCCTGTTTTGGGGATGATGAGCATTACCATTTGGATTTGAAAGGGGGCATCTGGAGTAAAGGTGAGTAATGAGAAGGGAAAAATAAAACACTAAAAAGCTTGAATTCTATGTATTCTTCAGCCAATAGATCTGAGCATTGCATGTCTGGTTTTAACAAATCCTCTCAAAACGAAGCAGTTTCTTGGCAAGCAGACTGTGCCCGCTGGGCCCGGTTCATGACTTAGGGGCACATAAAATGCAGAATTGATAAAATGAGAGTTTCAGTGGTTTCAGGGGAAAGAAACAGACTGTGGGCTGTGGCTGGAAGGGGAGGTGAGCATGAGGAGAGAAAGTGCAGGGTGTGAAGTACTTGTTCAAGAAGATAAGCAGGAATAACGTTTCGTTGTCAACATGGTGCTGAGGATAACAGTGCTGTGTGCGTACTTAAAACTGTGTTAAGATGATAGACCTCGTGGGAAGAATTCTCACTGTAATAAAAGACAAAGGGAAAAAGGGAAGAGATGAAGAGGATAAGAGAGAGGCGGATAACAAAAGGAGGATGTGGAGTTGACACATAGTTGTGTGTGTGGTTTTTTTTTTTTTTTTTTTTGGAGGGAGAGAGCGTTTGCCCGTGAGCAGATCATCGGGGGGAGGGGCAGAGGGGGAGAGAGAATCTCAAGCAGGCTCCACGCCCAGCGCAGAGCCCAATGCGGGGATCGATCTCTGGACCTTGAGATCGCGACCTGAGCCAAAATCAAGAACTGACTGAGCCACCCTGGTGCCCCTCGACACATGGTTTTTAAAAAACAGAAGCGATCTGAGTATGTTTCCACCCTGTTGCTGGAGACCCGGTGCGGAGGAGAGAGTAGGTGACCTGCCCGTGACAGGGATGATAATCAGTGTCAGCGTGAAGCTGTGGAAGAGAGTAGGCTCCAGAGTCACGCTGCCTGGTTTAATTCCTGCTGTCACCGAGCCCTAGCTGTGAGATCTCGAGAAAGTGACGTAACCTCTCTGTGCTTCGGTGATCCTTTTTGTAAACTGAGGATACTGATGGAGCCTACAGTAGATTTTTGTGAGGATGAAACAGTAAAAGCAATCAGAGCAGTGCCTGGTATACCACAGGCTCTGGATACATATTAGCAATTATTATTTTGTCGTTGCTGTGCATCAACACTCTGGAGGAGTGGGAGCCAGAGAACAGATGGGGATGGGGGGAGGGCCCAGCCTCAATGGGAGGGCGGGCGTACCACTACCAAGGGTGTGGAGAGTGTGTGTGGATGGCAAATGCATGTGCAGATTCGATGGTAGAAAGCCGGGAGGATTGCTCTCTGACAGCTTCTGCATTTGCATGAAGCAGGAGGAGACATTGGGTCTATGATGGCAAGGGAGGGGAATCTAGTTCCTGAGAAGGGAAAGTTTTGAGATTGTCGTTGTTGAGAATGTACGATCAGGCTAACTATGGAAACACCGTGTAACTGTTGGCCAGAGCCGGGGGGACCCGGGGGGTGGCCACGGGTGTCCCATGGCAGCAGTCTGCTCGGGGGTGGGGGTGTCCCCTGCACTCGGGGGTGGGGGTGTCCTCTGCAGGGCTCGGCACCCTGCAGCCAGGCATGGGGCTCAGCAAAGGCGGAGGGTTCTCCCTTACTTCAGATGGAAGGACATAGAGTACAGAGTTTGAGATACTGGGAAGAGGGTGGCTTGATGAAATGGACCGACATCCAGTTAATTTGTGCTAATGCATCCAGAGCAATGCCTGACATAGAGCGAGCTTTCCAGTATTTTTTCATTCATTCTTTTTCATTCATTGCTGTTGGTGGCTATAGATGGTGAATAAACTGATAAAATTAAAGGGCTAATACAGAAAACAATCAATGTGTGTGATGTAGGTGTTGAAAAACAGTCTTCTTTTAAGAAGAAATGCTCCTTTCGGGAGCTCTGAAAGGGCTTCTAGTTAATGAAATGTTGGAAGGTCTCTGCTTTTCCTTATTCGACCCTGGCTGTGCACACGGCAGCCCCACGGTTTCCTGTTCTGGCAATGGCTCTGCGTTGTGGCTTGGGCCGGAGTCAGGAGCTCTGGACGGACCCCTTTGCCACCTGCCTCCTGGGAACTGAAGCCAAGGGAGGGGCCTCGTGGTGACGCCGAGCCAGGCGGGCTGGGCTCAGAGAGGTGGGGTTGACCGGTGTGTGAAGCTGGTCCTCCCTCAGTCAGGCTGTGAGATGGGGATGGGCGGGGACGGCTGATGGAGCAGGAGGCCCTGGCCAGGCTGTGACCTACCGTCTCGTACACTCAATCGCCCTGACAGGTCGGCACCGGGTGACACTCCCAAACCGGGTCACAGGCTCTGCATCTGGAAAGGAGGATGAGGCAGCAGCGGTTCTCAGACTGGGCTCCTGGATTCTGGGGTTTCTCTGGAGATGCTACAGGACTCACTGGGGCTGGTGAAAGGGGACAGGCAGCACATCCTCGTCCCCCTTTCCCCCCCGAACCTGCTCCCTAGACTGGAGCCCCTGCAAACTTGCTGGAAGCACAGATGTCACAAAGCTCGGACCTCTGTCATCTCTAAAGACATCCTGTGACTCCACGGTGCTTCGTGGCTTTGGGTCTGCGTTTCCCTTCTCCGTGCCTCAGTTTCCCTGTCTGCAGAGTGAGGGTTTGGATAAGAGAAGCTCTGGCTTCTGGGAGTGGAGGGGGTGGTAAACACTGGGGTTCCCCGAGCCCCATGTGGCAGGCCACATGGGCGGGCTAGTGCCACCAAAGGAGGATCTCCCCGGCTGCCCTGCCTCATGGGCACCGGCTCCCCGTCGCTCTGTTCCAGGCCTCTTGTCCTGCTCCACTTGTCAGTAGCAAGTCACACTGCTTCTTTCTGCTTCCTCTTTCCTCCAGGGACCCACGAGGTGGTGGCCAAGCCCAGTCCGGTCACCACCCGCCACTCAAGGGCCACAGATCAGGAGAAGAAGAAGGGCAGCCTTACTTCCTCTCTGAGGATGGACCCGCACAGCCGTTCTGGAAAGAGCAGAAAATCTACAAAACTCCGGTCCATCTCCCGGTCCCTGATGCTCTGTAATGCAAAGACCAGTGATGACAGCTCAAGCCCCGATGAGAAATACCCCGATCCCTTTGAGGTTTCCCTGGGCCAGGGCAAGGAGGGGATTTTCCACTCGTCTGTGCAGTTGGCGGATACGTCGGAGGCTGGGCCCAGCAGCATTCCTGATCTAGCGTTGGCCTCTGAGGCGGCTCACCTCCAAGCAACTGCAAGTGATCGAGGCAAGAGCTGTAGGAGGCTATTCTTCATGAAGGTATGCCCAGGACTTGCGGCGTTGGAAGACTCTGTGGTTGGTTTCGGGTGCTCTGAATGAAAGTCTTTGAACCCTTTTACTCTGAGATCAGGAAGGCACAGAGTTCTAATTCTGAGCAAAAGCAAGGAAGAAGTTGAGGCAGGGATCACGGGAATGACAATAATGAGCATGGTAGTGAATCAGGCTCAGTTAACCTTCTCACTTGACTCAGTGAGATGCTGTGGTGGTGGGAGGTAAACTGAGCCTGGATCCCTGCTGGAAAATGCGAAGGGTGATGGTCAGTATACTGGCAGGTTCTCATCTCAGGCAGGTACTCTCCGGCATACCCTCGCAGCTCAGGTCACTGACTTACGGGGCCTGGGCTAGTAGCAGACCTTATGTCACTCAGGGCAGGGATGGAGGATCAGTGTGTTTGATCTTGCTGCCTGGAATGCTCTTCCCCATCTGAAGCATTCAGAGGACTCACTGGTCCCCCTCCTTCAGGTCGCTGCTCAAATGTCCCTTCTTCAGAGAAGCCTTCACGATCACCTTCCCAAAAAGGACAGTGAACTCTCCCCTCATCACTCTCTATCCTCTTTTGCTGCCTAAGATTTTTTCAGAGCCCTTCACTGTTTAATGTCATATCACATTATGACCGTCTGACTCCTGGCCAGTTTCCTCCCCTTCATCTGGCTCTCTCCCGTCATCCAGCCTCCTGCCACCGGACAGGACAGGAGGCCCCTGCCAGTTCCCACATGGGTGTGAGTGCTGGAGCTGATAAGAGGAACCATGGTGAGGGAGGGAGGGAAGCTAGGTAGTGGTTGGAGACCTGCCAAAATTCAGAATGCCCTCTCTTCCATTAGACCATATTTCAAGTTGTGTTATCACAACGAGATGGAGATTGCAAGGCACCAGGGGACAGAGGCTGACTCAAGTATTTTACTCTTGAATTATTCTCAATTGAGTACTGAGCCTTCAGCCCTCCATCCAAGGTGGGGTTTCTCAAGGGTCCAAGCAGCCCAGAACCTTGGAGGTCGTGCAGCTTACCCCACGACAGGCCAGCCGGGAAGGGTTTGTTCCACCCCTTATCGGCACAGTCACACGATTGTCAACAGCAAGTGGGGAAGGCATTCCAGTCCCAGTGGAGGGGATCCAGGACCTTTGCACAACTTGCTTCCTTGCAGGGGAAAACCACTGTTTAACATGTATACAATAAACACTATCATGGAACATTATACAGCAGGTTAGCAGGTCAGGCCCCAGAGAGGGGATAGCCCCGGTGATCTCCAGACACAAGCAGCTTCCGCAAGGGCCTCACCCAGCCCGGGTTACTACATCACCCACGATGTGACTTCTGTTGGTATGACCTGAACTCACCCAGTGGGACAGAAGGAGGGACCAGCATCCCAGTGGGTTTGGGGGAGCCTGGCCAGGCTCCTGGTTTGCCGTGAATGATGTGACTAGTATACAACCCACCAGCTGAGAGTCAAATTTATTGATGACGAGATCATGTTGTCCAGGTTAGAGCTCAGATAAATGAGATTCAAAAACCATTTGGAGATTCCAACAGACACCCAGAATGAATCATTCACTTGCTTCTATTTAATTGCGCAAGTGTTTCCTGAGCACCTGTTATGCTCAGGAAGGATCCCTGCCCTCAAGGATCTTGTCTGAAGTGGAGTAGAGAATACACTCCGAAGGGCTGTCGGAGGCTCACAAAGAGGGAGCGCGTCTCTGGCGTTGGATATCAGTACATTCAGTGAGTGTTTGCAGAGTACCGGCCTGTGGGCCGTACAGACCCAGTCCCTGTCCTCTCACAACTCTTATTCTGGTGGGGGGACAACTATGAACACCTCATATGTGATATGACATTAAACAGTGAAGGGCTCTGAAAAAATCTTAGGCGGCAAAAGAGGATAGAGAGTGATGAGGGGAGAGTTCACTGTCCTTTTTGGGAAGGTGATTGTGAAGGCTTCTCTGAGAAGGGACATTTGAGCAGCGACCTGAAGGAGGTGGACCAGTGAGTCCTCTGAACGCTTCAGATGGGGAAGAGCATTCCAGGCAGCAGGAACAGTATGTGCAAAGACATGAAGAAATGAGTGATTTGCAGTGGCAAAGGGAAGAGTGTGCCTGGAGGATTTTGGGCAGGGGAGGGCGGCAGAAGGTGAAGCTGGGTGGTAGCCAGGGCACGCTTGGAATTTTGTTCTAAGAAGGATGGGAGACTGAGCGAGCAGTGGAGTGGCCCAGCCCAGCAGGGGAGCACTCTGGCTACTGAGGGGAGAGTGCAACGTGGGGGACCAGCTAGGGCTTTGGCAATAACCCTGGCCGGAGGTGATGGGGCTCTAAGACGGCGGTAGTCGCACTGAGAATGGTCAGAGTAGATTTATTTTCAAGGCAAACCCAGGGCATTTGTTGTCCGGATTTGTCTTGTGAGGAGATGGGTGGCAGCAGGCTTCACTTCTGGTTTTGACTTGAGCAACCCCGGGAAAGCGGACGCTCTGTGTTGAGGTGGGAAACACTCCGGGCTGGACACATGATCAGGAACCGAGGAGATGTTCCCCGAAGGACCCGGGGTTCGGCTCAGTGGGGGTGGGTGGCGGGGAATCCTAGGTGGAAGGAGCCGCATACGCGAAGACATGGAGGTGAGGAGGCACTGAGGACTTCTGTGTGTGTCTGGAGCTCTGTAGACGGCACCTGTCTGGTGGCAGGAGGCTGGATGATGGGGGAGAGCCAGATGAAGGGGAGGAAACTGGCCAGGAGTCAGACAGGCTTCACCTCTTTGGTCTCCATGATGCACAGGTGCATCATACTTTCATGGTTTAAATAATGTATCCGCAGCTCTTATTGTCTCCCCAAAACCTCGGGAGGAAGGTAGTCACGGCTGCATCAGTATTTTGGGGGGCAGGGTGCCATATGGCACAGGGTTTAGGGGGTGTGGGCTCATTAGTCTGACTGCTTGGGTTTGAGTCCAACTTTTCCATCTGGTAGCTGTACCATCCCAGAAATTCACGTTACTTCCCCATGCCTCCACTTTCTCACCGATTAAATGGAGAATGTGAACAATATTGTTTAGCTCACAGGGGTTTTTATCAGGATTAAGTGGTAAGTATTTACATAAGTACAGTGCACATAGTAATTCCTTACTTAGCATTATCATCACTATTTCCGGTTTAGGAGGGGGACACTGACTGTTGTTGAGTGATAAAGTAATGAATCCAGTAGCATTTCCTGAGCACCTCCAATGTGTCCGGAGCATGAAGAGTTGTAGCTTCTGCGGTGCTCGTGGAGATGGGGACAGCGCACATCTCTCCCTTTTCGGGGTGTGGGTGCAGACATGTAAGGGGAGGCCCGGGAACACTGGGGGATATGCAGCTCTATCTGCCAAAAGGCACCCTGGAGGAGGCGCCTGTTGACCGCAGGATATCCAGGTCAAGAAGTCCAGATCACAGGGAGTGGTGTGAGCAGGCGGAGGGGTAGGAATGGAGGCTCGGAGGTGGGGAAGGGGTAATGGGCACAGTTAAGTCACGCTGGGGGCAAGGATGGCCCGGGAAGGACAGGAGGGCCACTGTGGCCAGCTTGGAACCCAACACGAGCTCTTGTTTTTCCTTCTCAGGAGCACGGGTGATCTTGAACCACCCAGGATCGGATTCTCAGCAAGTGAGGGTTTCAATGTCTGAGCAGGTCTTCTATCAAGAGTGCCAGGGCATGAGGGTCAAAGGTGACAGCTGGTCCCAATGTCCTTCCTGGGGGTGCCTCAGTATTGAATAACACCCCACCCTCCCCTTCTCGCAGGGGCATTCTAGTCCCTGCCGCGGCTCCTGCCCTGCCCTGCCCCCAGGCGTGACTCAGTTGGCCCAGATGGACTCCTCAGTCTCCAGCAATACCATGGTTACACTGATTTCAAAACAAAATCTGGAAAGAGGCCCCGTGACATCAGTCTCTCATCTAGAAATGCCTAATATGAAAATTAAAGAAGAGGAAGTTAGATAAACAGCCAAATAAAAAAATGCCATCTTGGATGTGTTGTGCTTGGCATGACCGGGCCTGAGGAAATGAGTTCCTGGGGATGTGCCAGAGCTGAGCGGGTTTGCACAGGGTCCGGAGTGAGCATCCGAGCCTGCATCCTGTGTTAAGGCACTGGTGAGGCTTCTTCAGGGGGAACTTCCAGGCCCCCGGGGATGAATTGAAGTGGAAGAATGTTGAAAATTAGACTCTAACCCAACAAACAAAAATACTCAATTTATCAGGCCTAGACCCTGAAAAGGAGGAAATGCACAGACTCCTTGGCTACTTCAGACCCAGTGTCTTTTTTTTGAATGGAAAGAGTATTTTAAAATGCCCTTTAGGTAGGATGTGGGGCCAGAGGGAAGGAAGCTCAGGCAGGTGGAACTGAAGCTTTACCCAGACTGTGCTCATCTCCTCCTTCCTTGTTCTCCCTCCTCTTATCTCCCTTCTCTCCTTCCTTCTGTTTCTCCAAATGCTGGCAAAGCACCTGCTACGTCTGCTATCTATCCCCTGGGGCTTAAGAAACATATCGGATACTGTTCCTTCCCTCAGGGAGCTCGTGGTCTGGAGAAGGGGACAGGTGTGAGCATAATGGATCCTGTCCCTTGTCCCCTCCTCCAAGCTATGTTCAACTTGTTTAGCTTTCTTAGGGAGAGTCTCATGCAGAGGATGAGTAGCAGAATTACATCCTCGAAGGAGCCTCCTAGGTTGTCTTTCACTTCCCCAGAGCACTCTACGGTAGCAAGATTTATGCTCCTCAGATAGGACTTCCCTGGAGGTGAATGGGTCCAGGTGACTGTGAAATCTCAGTGATCTCAGAATGCAAGGATGAGCTCAGGTCCAACAGAAGTCCCTCCTGTCCGCCCCTCCCGGAGGCTCCGCACGCATGGATGAAGGACTCGGTAGCGCTCTGCGGGAGCATTAGGATGAGCCAGAGCCGTGGGTGTGCAGGTAGGATGAGGGGGGCAAAGGCAGGGGGTGGAGGTGGGGGTGGAGGGAGGGAGACGTGTCGGCAT